ACAAGGATGAGGTAGGAAAGATCGCGCGTGGTCCGTGGTTCGTTTTGATAGGGTAGTGCTCCGGCATTCGCCTGGTGTTAATCGTAGGAACCACGGAAGACTACCGATCAGAGCAGCCGGCCGCTAGAATTCCCCTCCAGACAGCGGCTGAACTCGACCTAGCTAGGTAGGTAGTGTCGAAAATCCTGCTCCCGCCGTGACTCTACCCTAGGTCCTCGCGGTCAGAGACACTGAAATGTCATGTTGATGTTCGAATCCACGTCTTCAGGTCGCACCCAAGAGGGGGAAGGATTTAACTCGCCATTTGAAGCCAATTATACGATTGAATTCGACCTCGCTGACAAGTTAGTGTCGAAAATCCTGCCACCTTCGGGAGTGGCAGTTCAGAACCTCCCGGACAGAGGGACTGCAGGGACATCAGTTGATGCCCTGAGCCATTTCTTTCATGTAGATGGAGGTCCGACTCTAGTTCATTCGCTCTTTCTTTTACGCGGTGACGGCGCGCGCCCCACTGTGCGTCCGGCGGAGGCTGCGTGCACGTGTGTCGGCGGAGCGGCGCGCGAGAGGTTGCAGCAGACAGGTTCCTTATAGAGTTGCGACGTCGGCGACAAAACATCTACACGCGTTTTAAAATATCTGTGTTCAAAATCAAAACATCGATGTTAATCATACATCGCTCAAAAACTGTCCATGTTTTTAAACATCTGTCATGCGCAAGCATTGACAGCCCTCCCTGAGTGCGTCACGCGAGGAAAGGCGTTGGTAATACAAGGCCATCCGGGTCGTCTCTGGGGTGAGAGAAGAAAGCTCCATGAAGGTACTACAAAACGGCCTTCGCTTCATTCGATCAAGCGACTGAGGTATCATCAGTTATTGCGTATATTAACTTTTACAAAATATGATTACGAGTTACAAACAAAATATCTAAAACGTGAAATTATCGTTCACCGTACTTCGATGGTAAATAAATAAGGAGTTTGTACACGCCATAGCTTCAGTAATACCGATCTTCAGCGCATGCGCATGTGCATTAAAATGGTGCCAAACTTGAACTGCGCATGAGCAGAACATCGGTAGTGCTTTAACGTTCGAGGTGGCACAAACTCCCTAATTCAGACTGCAACATATCGATGTTTGGAACATCGACATCAATGTCGCATCCCTAGATCATTTTACCCCGCCCGCAATGGCACTCGCGAGCGCTGTTCTAGGTTTCGGTCTTCGTCCCGCCTCCCGAGTGGACAACGGACCTCCCTCTTGGTTTTGTTCCTGAAAAGCTTGCCCATCTTTTTCTCACAGAACAAGCAGAAAACGTATGGCCTCACGCACCTCATCACCCATAAAGAAGGCACGCTGATCGGAGAACATTGGGTTCTAAGATAGAATTGCCGCTATTTTAGATTATCCATCTACTATCTGGATTTGAAATGTCGTAGGATCAAGTTGCGTTTTGGATATGTATGTGATTAGAATGCTTATGCGTTGCTTTGGATATGTGTGTGTTTTTGTAAGCAAGCATACACAGGCTTATTGAGGGAATGGCAGATTTAAGGAATGTGGACTTATTATGTAATTCACCCTTGACAGTGACTTTTCATTGATATCAACAAATTTAACTATCCAGAAACTAATTTAAATCATTTTTAGCGAAGTTCATGAGAAGGATTGTGGAGCAAAATAAATGAAAAGTGTAATTAAATCTGAATACCAGTATTTCTCTCCTTGGAGTGTCGTTGGCACCTTTTGGTCACAGACCGAAGCTTTAATTAATGATCACTCTTTCAACACGCTGTTTTGCCTTATTCTCCGAGTCCTCGGTCAATATAGTTGAATTCGGTATCAGTTCAATTGTATTCTATCACTTTTTGAGACAACCACCCTCTAGTGGTCTTTCTTGGCAACGCTACTCAATACGATAGCAAGTTCTGTGGCTGTTTGATAAGCTACTTGATCTTCAAAGAGAAGATTTTATATTTTTAAAATAAGCTTTGGCGTATTTTCTACATCTTCTGAGTTAAGTCAAAATAGAAGCCACTGACAGGAAAATTTTTAGGAGGAAGAATATTTTGTTTGACGTTTCCTTCAAATTATCCACGAACGCCGCATCAGAATCAGCATTTGCATTTTTTCATCCCCATCGTAATTCATCCCCCACCTCCATTTCCCAGATAAAGCTGATCACCCCTTCCCAATGATCTGAAATACTAAGGAAATTTAGCGCCACGCAAAAGGTAGCGACTTTATGCACTAACAGTCACGCGATCGACATTGAAGTCATAACGTCGTATACCTTCATAATTACGGTGCACGCCTGTAGGAATCTCACCGGCCCCAAAAGCGGCAAAAAAGTCGACCGCTGTAAAAAAGAAAGGTTGCATTTTCCCAACTTTGATAAACTGATTCTCGTATGCGATGCAGTGACAATTATCACAACACCATAACTGAAGAGAATTAACGGAAAATGTTGGAAATGTGACACGTAAGAAATTCGCGAAAATTAAGTTTAAATCATATCTTCGTGTAGAGTGATGTTCTATGCAATAACTAACGCTGTTATTAGATAGTCCCTACATTCTCTATTTAAGCCGAATCAAAATACCAGACTCCTTTTCATCGCGTAGAGCCAGTTAATCTAAAACTTTCGCATAGCGGAGATTTGTTTACGCTTGACTCATATCATGGTTCAAAGGTCTCACCATTCGCAGACACTATTTGATACATTATGCAACTTCTTTATTCAAAGCTTGAAACGCTTCTTTTTATTGATTATTTCGTGTTCCCAGGAGCGTCAATGGCTATGGTCGTTGGTCCCGTAAGTGTAGTGCTTGTTGTGTCATGGGACGTGGAGGTAGTCCACCTCTCCCTGGATATAAAGATCCGGCGCCGACCTACGCAGGCGAGGTTTTCCCCAACCAGGTGCCTCCCTCAAGCTGGGCACCGCCACAGTCGGTACAAGCTCTCCCATCTGGACTCCCGATATATGTGGTAGTGTAGTGTCTGCAAGTGTGTGTACAAAAGGAGTGAAGATAGAACACGGACAGAAAGATCGCGTGTAGTCCGTGGCTCATTTGTTTGGGAATTGCTCGAACATTCACCTGTTAACAAAACACGAAAAATAACCGATCAGAGCAGCTGGTGGGTAGAATTCTCCTCCAGACAGCGGTTGAATTTGACATATCTCCTTGGCTAGTGTCGCAAATCCTGCCACCGTCGGGACTTGAACTGTGAGACTTCCAGGTCGGAGGCACTGTAATGATATCAGTTGATGCCCTCAGGCACTTACCGCTGAAATGCGTCTTTTGTTATAATACATATCGCAATGTCCCAACTGCTAAAGGTGAACTGAACGTCGTTCGTATCGATCGTACACCTTCGTAAGTCCCTTGATCAATAGATTTAAGGATAGCACCTTACGCCTAAAACTCCCTATTCAAACAAAAATGTGATACGTGAGCCTGCCACTGTTTCTAAAGCGGATTAGTACCGGCCCGACAATGCGTGTGATTCAGAGAATTGTGGTTCGTAAAAGCCCTGTCCCTAACCGCCATTTCCACTTCATAATTGCCCATTCTCCGTCCTCTGACCCATCTCCTCATCCCTTCACCACTCTCCCTGGAGCGGGCGGCCGCCGCAACGCACGGAAATAGCACTGACATCACTTCTGTCGCGACGCGAGGAGTGCACGCCGCGTGTTCCCGGGAACAAGCTCAAAGAGATTGCACTGAAAATCCCGGGAAGGAAATCAGCAGACGAAGGAGAAAGCATTCACTAGAAACATTAATTCTCTGGAAAGCATTGCAATACGAAAACAAGAAAGCAGTTTAGTATTCTTTGCTTCAGAGGTGGATACATTAGAAACAAGCGCGTGACGTTGAACGGACGATGGCGACGCGTTCCTCCACGAACCTCGTCTTCCCAGAACTGAGAAGAGTTTTACACGTGGCCCCGGTGGCAACCCATGTGCCAGCGACTGCCCCGGGCGGTGACCTTAGAGCTACTATTTTCGGCAGGCCTGGATTAGAGTGAAGGAAAAATCGTAGAGATATATTGGCTCTCACAATACTCCCTGGAAAACAGCAACAAGAATGACGCGACTGCCAGCGGCACCAATCAGCCGGGTCCGAAAGCTTCAGGCGGGACGCCCACGCTCAAGTCGCATACTCAATGAGCCCACGGAAGCTTCCAGCGCTCGCGCTACATTAGCTACGCGGTTCCTTAGCCCTATTTCAAGTCTCCGACTCGAACCCTTGGACCTCTCAATCAGAGTCCTGACGATGGCGGAATTTCGGCATCGGCTGCAACACTAAGTCGCGTTCACCCGTGTCTGGAGGATAATTCTAGCGGGTGGCTCCTAGGGCTCGGCGTATTCTGTCATCAATAACAGGTGAAGAGCGGAATAGTACCCTTACAAAGAGGCAATGGTCCGCGCGCGATCTTTCCTTCCTCTTTGTGCTCCTATCCTCTCCCGTTACTTCCAGATACATCTACATACAGTGCACACTCACATACTAGTATGCCAAGAGACCAGTCGGGAGCTTAGCGCTCCTCTCCGCTCGGGCGTTGCCCCCACCCGACGCGTCGCCGTCCAGTGCAGGAGGGACGCCGCCTCATCGACGGAGGGTACTACAGAAAATCTTTAATTCCATCTATCAGAGTGATTCATTTCTGCAACAATGTCACCTTTAAGGATTTTCAAAGGTCTATAAGTGTTTCTTAATCAGAATTTTGGTAAAACACATGTGCTACATGTGTTGTTACCCCGGCGTTTCCATTTCACCCTGACATTTCTGTAGCCGATGTTCCCAGGCAAATATACAGTATTTGACAGGCCCTACCTGACGAAATGCTTGTGGACTGAACTGTAAAGTTTCCATATTAACTACTTCGAGCTAAGCAGTGTAGCGCTAATCATGAAAAGAGAGGACAGAGCAAATTATAATGTCGGATTAAAACTCCCAACACACAGATACGAGTAGATTGATGAAGTGCGCCGGCCTCACCTGGTTGATGTGCACGGAGCACTTGGGCACGACCTCCCTGCGCTGGCGCGACATGAGGTCGAGCAGCTGGTTGACGAGGAAGGAGGGCGGCAGCGCGGCCACGCCCCCGCGCGGCACGCTGATGAGCTCGCGGCAGATGGGGCAGCGGAAGGCGGCGGCGTCGCGCGTGTTGGAGGCGGCGATGCGCGCCAGGCAGTGCAGGCACACCGTGTGCGAGCACGGCAGCAGCTTGGGCGTGTGCTCGCCGCCGTCGTACAGGCCTGCGACACACACACGCCCACCCATCAGCCGCCGCCCGCCCAAGGCCTGCGCGCTCGCTCTCGCACGTGCGCCGCGACGCGCCGCGCCGCGCCAGCCGGCGGGATGGCCCCATGCGGACCTGCCGCAACAGCTTCCTGGAAGTCCTCGCGCAAAACCAGATTAAATACAAAACACTTTTTTTTTTGTTATTTAAGGTCGCATCAACTACTAGGTCATTAGCGACCACTATTGCTTGTAACGGTATGGTAACTGTGGATTGACACGATAATGATGATGAGGGTGAGGGTGAAAGGACGAAACACAATACAACCATGCCCGAGGCGGGACTCGAACCCGCGATCCTTCGGTCCGAGTTCGCTACTCTACTTAGCGATCTCGGCCACCGGATGGGCCAACACATTTTTGAAGGAGGACAGTTGAAGGTTTTGCAGAGAATAATACCCGTTTGAAAACGTCGTCACCAGAAATCTTCTAACAAGAGGACTAACTGTCAAATTGACAAAGAACTGAAATTTTCCCGTATAATATTCCTCAACGTTCGAAGTTTTATTATGTGCTGGTATGATAATTTAATTGATTTAAAATTTTACTTAAATATGTTAGCTCACATACAATAAGGGTTGTCATCACAATGCAATAAGCAGGCAAAAGATTGATAGGAAACAATATTATTGGACCAAATAAAATAATTAAATACACAAAACAACCCAAAATAGACATGCACTCCAAACACATAATGCCAAATTTCTTCATTTACATACAAATCAATTTTAACACGTTTTCAATACCAGAAAGGTTTCCAGTTTTTGAAATCCCAAGACTTCAACGCTCCAAGAGTATCTGACATACGTCGCCTAAAAACGTTCATATCACAAACGAATATGTTTGCTTAAAAGTGATTAAAATAGAGTTGCTTGTGCAACACTTTGTTCCTCAGGTTGGAGCTGGGGAGAGAATAAGCCGTGAGCCCGAGGTAACACTTGATACAAAAGGGCACTATAGGACTATTTCTTCCCCTTCTCTCTTCCAAGAACTATCATTCATTGCTTCCTAAGGAGCATAATTGAGATATTAAGCAGAACCGCAAAACTTATTTCGAATCTAATCTTAGCACTTTCTGTTGAATGGAGCAACAATAGATTACGTAAACGCTACGTTCCACTGAATTCTGCCAGAAAGTCATCCGTATTTACACTTGCAGTGACTTTTCAGTAAGAAGTACTTATCTTTTTTCTCTCTCGAGGAGTGTACGCTCTTGCATAGAACACAAGTATCCACTGACTTCGAAATTCAACCTATTTTTAATGGTCTTGCCGTATCCGTGACGAATTCAAACATCTGGAACTTTGCTTTCTTAAGTGATTATGTGATGCATGAAGAATTAAGAGTTACTTCAAACTTACTTTTTCCTCTTTCACAACGCAAAACGTCCACGCCACCCGGTGGTGCTATCCGCAAGCCTTCCTTACGATTGCCCCACCTGGGTAAGCAACGTCCAACGAGCGCTTGACCGTGAACTATACTCCTCAGATGTAGTGAGGCGATGATTGATTTAAAGACGACCAGCAAATGCTTCTATGGATGATTGGATTATTAATGGAATGATTGATTATTCCGCGTACCAGGCGCAACTACTACGGATCAACAGCTTCATACGTGTGGTGCATTTCTTTATCACGGGTGGTGACGGTGATTTTCACCCGCTGGATGGTGAGATCCGGCGGCGACCTAAAATTGGCATGCACGGTTGTCTTTATGCAGGTATCTCCCACCAACGGAGCACCGCCCCAGCCGGGACAAGGTGATCTACCAACACGTTTTGTGATGTAGTGCCCGTAGGCTGCTAAGGTAATTAGTCCCGCACGTTTAGTGCATTTTTTCATCGCAGAAGGTGATAATTTCCTCCCGCTGGCTGGCAAGATCTGGCGTCGACCAACCCATCGGCAGGCGGGGTCTTCCCACAACGAGGTGTCTCTCCCACTAGCGCTACACGTTCTCAGCCATACGGGACAAGCTCCAACATGTGTGATAGTGTAGGGCATGTGAGAGTAAGTGCGTCTAATTAAGGCATGAGAATAAGACAAGGACGGGGATGGAAAGATCGCGCGCGGGTCAAGGCCCGTTTGTTAGGGTTCTATTCCAACATTCGCCTGGTATTGACTGGAGAAACCACGGAAAACTACAAACCGGAGCACCCGGCAGCTAGAATTCTCCTCCAGGCTGCGGCGGAATACAATCAAGCTATCTAGCAACAAAATTATGTCACCGTCGGCACTCGAACCCTGGACCAGCCGGGCGGAGGCACTGCGGTGGCATCAGTTGGTGCCCTGAGCCTCCTCAGCCGTGCACTTGTGCGAAGCAGCACTTCGCATTGGCTCCCGAGTTACCGAGAGTTACTTCACGCTCGGTTTGTGTCGTAACGCAAGGCCTCAGCGACCGGACAAATAGCGTTGCCGCAACTCTTCTTCCGCAAACGCACGTGAAGAGCAGAGCGCGAGAGCGCCCTCCAGCGCCACGTTCGAATGGGTCGCTTTCAAACGCGTCGCTGAGCGGCAACGCAAGCAAAGCCACAGCTCCGAAGGCCGCTCGCCTGCAAACACAAGCTGCGCAACCCTCCGACGAGCCACCTGGTCGGGACCAGGCACCCAAGAGCTCACCACTGGCCGAGCCAGCTGCCGGCGGCTAGTGCGTGGGATCTACATTACTCATTTCCAATGCGCGCACAAACGGAAAGAAAACTAGAATGCAGCATCCGACCATGTGAGAGGTATCAATGGTTTAGTTAGATACGCGGTCAAAATCCAGAAATAATGAAATAGTTTCGATTTTGTCTTACAAACACAAATATTTATTTATTATTGTATTATTTCGCCTATTTTCATTTTACTAGTTGGAATTCACATACTCAACGCGTCACTGCTTACGTCACAGCAAGTCTCCAAAGAAGATCCCATCCGCAATAAAATATTTGCTGTTCGCGTGTTGTATACTGGAAGTTTTTTAATATTCTAGATATGTAAAGAACTGTTGTTTACTATATTATGTTATTGCAGTATTCGTTAAGACCGTTTTTGTTAAAATATTTAATTTTTTGCTGTGTTATGCGTTATATGTTTTATGCTGTTTTATTTGTGTTCCTTGAGGAGTGTGCGTGCTACGTTTTGGAAAATCATTTTGCATGACTTTGTTCATCAGAAGTTTTGCTGTTGCATGTCACTATTTTATTCTATTACCGGTTAATAAATTTACCTGACCACGGCGAATTGCAGTCGCCTGACAATTGTTTCATTAGGCAACCCGCTTGACGTTTATGCGTTACGTCCTTTCGTGTTGCAGCGTCCCCTGCAACTGTCAGACTACATTAGGATTGGCCAGGACATTTAGGAGATGGAGCGGAAGACAAGGAGGAAGAGAATAAGAAAAGATAAAGACGAGAATAAAAGACGCAGGGAGAAAACTGAGTAGACGAGGAGGAGAAAGGTGAACATGAAGAAAAAGAGCAAGGAGAATAAGGTGAAGTGACCGGAATAGGAGAAATAAAAGAGGAGACCTTTTCGCCCCCACCCCTCTCCCCATCACAGCACAATAGTGCGTTTCTTATTCACTTTACGAATCACGAGTTTTGCACGTTTTTATTTTGCGCTAAAGGAGCCTTGGTACATTGGAGCCCTGATAGCTAGTTTGCCAACAACAACAAGCAGTTTTATGCAACAACAAGAAGCAATTTTCCTTAACATTTGAGGATACAAAGAGAAAATCTATATTTTTTAAAACAAAGAAACATGTGTGGAAAAAACGATCAAGTTGAGTGTTCTTGAACCAAACATTACATTTTCAGTTAGAAATTAATATAAATATATTAAAATATACTCTTGAAAGAAGAATCAAATATTTTCGTTTCTATACATATTCAAGTTTTAAATTTATTCTAGGAGTGTGTGCTGTAAACACCTAATTAGTTGTAAACAACTATTGTTTTGGGGAAAGTTCAATGAATTTTTTTCATAAATAAGGCAATTGCAAGACTTCAACATACTTACTTCAACATACTTCAAGGAATCTCAAAACTTGATATTTATAACCAGACGTAATGCAGTTTCAATCCAAGAAAACCATTTACTAGGTTTACTCTTTCAGACGATTTTCTCCAAATTTCTTATTACCCGTTCGATCTGAACGAAGGGATATTTTTTATTTGGGGGTAATTTCATGAAGTCTAAAAACAATTTTTTAAATTTTCTCACAAATGGCTCGAGGTCTTTTTATTAAACTACGTCCTCATATAGCTTAAAAGAATGGCGCAGGTCTCATTTTCTTGGAATTTCGAAAATTGCAAAAGTTCTAAACTTTTTTCGCCTTCTTTATACAACTACAATATTGAAGTTTTTTTCCTTAATGAGATCTGTCCTTCATTGACATATGTGACAAGGGTTCAGTGACATAGAAGGGTTCCATGGTATAACGGTTATCGGGCTGATGTACCCAAGTTTGTGGGTTGAAACCCGATCCAAGCAGTGGATTTTCAAGTTCGAAAAAAATTCCTTCGAAGGGAAGTAAACCCGGTTGTCCCATGTAGATTTTCTGCGTGTAAAAAACCTCAAGCCTAAAAGAAACCTCTGCGCTAAATTCAAAATGCGGGCCTGATGGCAGTCTCGTCACGTAAAATACGACAATCACCAACTAAAATTAACTAACATCTTTAAATAAGGTCACGTAGAAATTTTCAAAACAAAGAAACATTCGGACAATTTTCAATTAAATATAAGGAATTTTCTTACAAGCTTTTTTAAAATTTTGTCCTCATATATATCAAAGGACGGTAAAAAAAAGTGTTCCTGAACCCATTTTCGGCGAACTCTGTGTTTTCGAAAATTGCAAAAGTAGATAGTTTCGATACAGTTTTTTCTTAAACAAAATCTGTAAAATTATATCATTCAATAGCGTCATGTTTTCTAAGCAACGGGTAGTTTTTACGTAATTTTTTATTGATTTTAAAGCA